CTGTGTCGTCCGTTGGCAGTCCTCGAGGGAGAATCCGACTGCACTTTCACTATCCAACGTGTTTATGATGCGCCAGCGGACGTCATAAATGTGCGTCTGCTGCTGTGGGGAAACTATAGCAACTACAGTTTTCTATACAGCGGACTACAACATGAACGACGGACTACTGTAAACTCATCTAGAGACTCTGCACCGTGCTCTGATGCTGTTGTTTTATGCTTTATGAACGTGGACAACAGAGAAACATATTATTCATGACCAAAGTTGGAATTTAAATAAAAAGGAAAGTGAAGAATTGCCACAACTTGCCGAGGCATCTGCTGNCCTTCCGTGGCAAATGCTGCTATTTAAACCCGTATTTATCGTGTAAAATGTCGCTGTTTAGGCATGACTTTATCGAACTGATCTGTACACAGGACTGATATGCGATCTCTATTTTTCCAAAAGATTATACATTATCATTTCTATTCAATTTTACTTGGAGCATGGTTTGCTGAAATAAACAAACGTGCTATATTTATGATGAAATATTGGCGAATGAGGGTTGCAACGCCCTTGGCAATTGTCGCTTCTTGAGGGGAGTTTCCACTGCTTGCTACGATAAACCAGGTGTATNGCTGCTATTTAAAGCCGTATTTATCGTGTAAAATGTCGCTGTTTAGGCATGACTTAATCAAACTTAACTGATGTGCGATCTCTATTTTTCAAAAATATGATACATTATAATTTATATTCAATTTTACTTGGAGCATGGTTTGCTAAAATAAACAAACGTGCTATATTTATGATGAAATATTGGCGAATGAGGGTTGCAACGCCCTTGGCAATTGTCGCTTCTTGAGGGGAGTTTCCACTTCTTGCTACGATAAACCCGTTGTATTATGACTAGTAAAGACAAATAATTAACAAATAAATATCTGTATTGACACAGCAACGTGTACACTGGTGTTATTAGAACTGATTGCAGTTGCCACTGCTAGTGAGATGCTAATTTTTACTTTATAAATTAGGCAAAGGACAGTTATATTTGCCCCATGCCTTCAGCAGCAGCAGGCCATTCACTTTGATTTTATCCCGTTATGAAATGTCATCCTTTCGTCAATAAAGAAATGCTACATAAACGTTATCTTGCACGTTTTATCGAACCATCTCCGTTTCTAACTTTCAATATATTTAAAAAGAGATATCTCGCTCATCTGCGTGCGGGGGCGGGGCCTCACATACATGCTGCTGCGCTGTGCACACAGTTCTGCCGGTAATAAATATTACATTTTGTGAGGAAACTTTTCCACCAATAATTCAAATAAGTATTCCAAAATGTATGCACTTCAGGTTTACGAAAGAAACTGTAATCAGATTAGTTGTTTTACAAATGTAACGTGACCTGAATACAGTAAGGCTACTTGATTTTTGTATTCTGATTACGTAACGCCGTTACATGTATTCCGTTACAACCATAGACTATATATTATTATTACATATTACAACCGCTGGTTACAACCCAACCCTTTGTGACACTGTGTACAGATCATCAGTCCTGTGTACAGATCAGTTCGATAAAGTCATGCATAAACAGCGACATTTTACACGATAAATACGGGTTTAAATAGCACACACATCTTGTGGCAACTCCCGTTCAGCAGCGGCAGGTGCCTCGGCAAGTTGTGGCATCTGTGATATATGCCGGAAGTACTTGCCACAGAGGCCACAGAGTAGTGGCCTCTGTGGCAGATGCCGGAAGTACTTGCCACTGTCTGCAGATGCCACGAAATGCGCTTGCTGTCTCTCAATTTATGCTCGTCACCAGGGGCGGACTGGGGGGGAAGCAGAGCCCGAGAGAGAAATCTTATCTCTCTATGACTCTGGGGGGGAAGTAGCCCGGGGGTTGATTGACAGACAGGCCCACTTAATGCGCGGCATATCGGCCGGCCGGCGACGAAAGTATGTTACTTAACAAAAAACCCTATGCATTTTATGTTATTTTGAACCATTAATCACATTACCGGAGCCCTTGAGTTGCCTAGAGCGAAATAGTTACAGCATATATTTAGTGACTTTAATGATTGGTCTCGCACAATACACGTCACCAACACCAGAATGAGGCGAAAAGTATTAAACCAGGTGAAAATCATTATACGTCTGGGCCCACAGTCTATGGTCTGGGCATGTTGAGAGCTATGGTTGAGAGCTGCTATAACAAACAGGGGGAGATTGTCGGTTCCGTAAGAGCCAGCATGCGGGACCGGCTGTACAAGGTAGTGATGGGCAAATTAAGCTTTTTGTGAAGCATCGAACCACTTGAACAATTGTTTCGAAAATAGGTTCATTTCATAGCTTCAGTTACAGCGACCTCTTAACTTTTTCTGTTGTACAGGTAGTTTTTAAATAACAAATTGGACTACATGCTTAGTTTGTCGGTGTTTTACACTAAAGCTGGTATTTTTGCCCTAATATTAAAAGTGTGACTGAGATAAAAGTAACAGAGGACTTTTATTTTTGAAGGGCCGCTGCCGGTACAGTACGCAACCTCAAAAGCACGTTTTGAATACGAGCAGAAATCTTACTGACACACAAGTTATTAAAATCCAGGGGTTATTTATTATTTATAAATGCCACATGAACATTTAAAGAGCTCACTCCAAGAAACTAAATACAGAAATCATATCCACACAATTACTGACTCAGTAGACTTGATTTACAGAATTATTATTTGAAAGCAAGAAATAAATCCTGAGAACCTATTAGGGCCTATTTAATTTTAAATTATGTATGTCACCTTCATTTAGTTTTCCTTTACATGGATAAAGATCTTCACCATAAACCGATGCAGAAAAGCATTAATTACTGCAGATAATTTCCATCGGAGGGATAACAATTAAGTGTGTGGCGCACCAACTCCTTTTTCTTATTAGTGGCAAATCGTTTTTTTAACCAAATAAGTAGTCTACTGGTTACAAAGTAGCAGTCAATTATTTTACTAGCCATCTGAAAAGTTAGAAAATTCTGAAATCACAATATCCTTCACCAGTTTCCTATTGCATAGTGATTTAACTTTACAGTGTTTTAATAATATTTCACACACATTTATAATCAATTATGACATGCAGTTGCCCAACACTTCCAAACAAATTAGTCAAGGGGCTTGAAAAAGGTGGTGCAGTAATCGAAAACACAGGCTTAGCATTAATGTGTCCTTTTTTATTGCAGAACATACAAGTATTGAAGTCTCCACCACAACCGATTAAGCATAACAGAGTGATCGTAAGAAAGAAGTGCTTTTTTTCTAATCATTCACATCATTGCATTTCTTTTAAAACCAGCTTGCAACACTCGGCCACCTTTGATGGGTCAGACACAGATGAGTATTTGGAAATCTGAGAGTTGACCCCCAGGGAGCGAGCCAGCTCTCTGGCTGACTGGTCCGAGGACACGATGGTTCCCAAGGCCACCAGCAGCCGGAAAACAGCCTCCTTGTCTTGTACCGTCTCCAGAGCCCGGCTGGCCACAGACAGGCACTGGGCCTTGGCCTCGAGATCTGGTTGGCTGTGCAGGCAGCTAGCGTAGTTAAGCACCAAAGTGGCCAGGGCAATGTGGATGTTCTTATTGCAGATACCGGCCAGGTCGGCAGCTCGTGATAGCACCGTTTCTCGCTGGGCCAGGAGGAGGGCCCGGCCCTGTCTGCCCATAAAGCAGTTACACAGAGTCCGCAGCGCCAGCATCTGGTTGGCAGGGCGACCCTCAGGGCTCATCAGGCTCAGCAGGTGGTTGCACAGCTGGACCCCCTCTGCCTCTCCGCAGAGGGTCTCGTTAACTGTCGGGTGGCGCACTGCCAGCCTCATAATGTCCAGCACAGGAAACACAATGTCTAAGGTCCAGAGGGAAAGAAAGCAGAGTTTAGTTTGTGAAAAATATTGAACCTTAAAGTGGCAATAGACATGTTTTTTTGATGACATCAAATGCTGGGAGAAATATGATTTTTTTTTCAGGTTAATCTTTTCTGATTTTGATCATAACTTGCCACTACATCAATCCAAAAAAATATATTTATCATAAAGTGTTGGAATGCTGTGGTTATACCTTCAGGCCAGTGAGAGGCCTTCCACAGCAGGTTGATCTCCTGGATGGTTGGGGGAGCTTCAGAGGAGTTGGGCTCAGAGATGGACCCCAGCAGCCTCACCAGACTCTCCAGAGCCTCTTGGGAAAGCTTGTATTCCTGAGGGGCACTTCCATTCAGCTCCTTTATCTTGGCTGGAGAGGAAAGAACACATCATCACAGTAAGGAGGGTTTATAGAACAGGGACATTTTGGGACAATACCCATGTGACGATAAATTCATTGTAAATGTTGATTATTAAAACATTTAAAAGTTGGTGGATTTTAGAGACACAACATCAAACCCAAAGTTGAAATGCTCACCAATGATCTGCGCGGAGTTGGCTTGCTCAAAAGTCACTCCATCAGTTTTGGGGAAGTAGATGTTAGTCGACGCCTGTCTGAGAGCTGCTGAGGAGTACGCACTTCCGCCTGAAGAGTACGATCAATGAGTGGAAAACTCAACATTAAAAAAGGGCAATAGGATGATTTATACTCTTTCAGTAGAAATGTATTGTGCTTAAATCAGGATATTGTGACACAGAAACACGTTGTCATAGTAAATAATAAAAAGTACCTTCCAACTCAAATGTTTGCAGAAAATCTGATCAATTTTATAGCTATCCTTAATGGAAAAATGTCAAACCAGTAGAACCATTTCTTAACTTTAGAGGCCATTGTGTGAGACTTTTGACCTGACATTTTTTAATATGTGCGTATTTGCATATTTGGAAACAGTTTCTTATTTGAAATTATATTTTT